CCCCAAAACCCCAAAACCCCGTGAAAAAAATATTGTTTAAACTTGGAATAAGTATTATAAAATATTATGAATAATTTTTTCTTGATCCTTAATGCAAAAAATAATATGTATATTAACAACTATTACACTTTGGATCATACTTAAAACCACACTAGTTTAATTGGATTCAATCCTCACCGTTCATCATAGGGACACTCTGTGTTGTACCGCTGGGACCACTAGATTTAAATGGCATTCCTTCGTTATGAGAATCAAGCTTCTTAGCGTTCGAGAACAGCTTTGAGCGATCAACTAACTCATTTTAAATAGCTTTACTACCCTCTAGCAAGAGACCTTTGGGTACCTTTCCATCTGGACAGATACCCTTAAGCTAAACCACACTTTCATTTTCTTCTCTGAGAGTCTTGAACATCTTCATCATCTTGCTCATCGCTCTCACTTTATTCCTTAGCAAGTCAGCCTCTATATTTCATGAATTACAAATATTAGGATAATTTACTTTTAACTTTTGGGGCAGTCTCGTTCTCGATTAGCTATTTAGGATCTTTTAATTCCTCATCTTCATCTGGCAGGTCACTGCCCTACTTTAGGACATTTAGAAGCATTTCCACAACTTTTTCTGCTACGAAAGGTACTGACCATGTAAAAATGTCCATAAAATTTGGAAGGATATATGGATGTGCTGTGTAATTGAATTACTGAATATTTAACGTGTTTTACTCAAATTTGATAATCGCACCTTTGTTGTTGTATACATCGCAATAATTCGGTGCTGAGAATATAGTGATAACTACTGGAAATTCTGATGGACCATTCCATTTATGCATTTTATACCCATCAAACTAAGCCTCGTGAGCTCTCAAAATTGAGAGCAACTTGTTTTTATGTAAGAACTGGTTAGTTGCTTGCTGCCCAAAAAAGTATGAGCACCCTCTTACATCATTTTACTAAAACCTTTGAGGACATTAGCCTTTTTCGTCCTCTACTGGATCTGACCATAATATATCACAGAATAGCCCAACTCTTGGGGGCTCTTAGAATCTTTGCAAATTTTTCAAGTCATTAATTGTCTTCAGCTCTGGTGAAATTCCTCCGTGAAGGGCAAGGAATTTATCGTTTACAAGGCATGATATTGGAAGTGCGTCAAAAGTTTCCATAAATAAGTCGTAGGTCTCCTAATCATATTTATATAGACATTCTCCTCTGAAATTGAAGAATTATGTCATTTATCTGCACTCGTGATTTCCTCTCAGCATGTAAATAGTCTATGGGAAATTCAATTTTAGAGAGTATAGCAGCAAGACTACCTCGCATGAGAAAGAACCTCTGTCGACATAGTCTCCTAGGAAAAGATATTTGGTTTTAGCAGGACTTCCTCCAACATCTAGCATTTTAACAAAATCATAGTATTAACCATGAATATCTCCCACGACTGTTACTGGATCATGTAAACTCAACAAATTTGGCTCCTTTTCTACATAGGTATATACAATTATGCATTCTTACTAATCAAAGCAAGCGTGTCCTTTAAAATTTTTTGGCAGTGTTCTTTCGAAACTCTACCTTCTCTATACATGTGATTCTTCAGTAATTCCCAATTCGGAATGGTGGAGGCTAAATTTTACAATATATTATTAACCTTAATAAAGGTACTTCTATTAGGATACAAAAGCTCGTCTGAGATAGTCTTGTGAGGAGGAGGCACGATGTCTTTCATAACTCTATCACCTACTGGATCTAACAATGGCTCCATTTATGATAAATCAGTAATTTAATTAGGCTAATATATTTATTCCAAAAAAAAGTTTGTCGCATAAAGTACTAATTACTAGAAAGCGGGGTTTTGGGGTTTTGGGGTTTTGGGGTTTTGGGG